CAGAGGAGGTCTCATTCCACAACATTTTCTCCTTAAATTCGATGACGAGTACCTGAATATTCTGCGTCATTAAAATTTTCAACACTGCACTACATGCCAATATTAAATTACCGAAGGTAACATAGAAGAGCATAGAAGATCTGTGTGTTCCACTACTAAATAAAAAGGTAAATTAATATTCGATAAAAATAGCAATCCCTCTGTTAAATTACAATCATCCTGTTAACAAACAGCAGTTCAAATTATTCCTCGTATCTGCTACATTGCATCTCAATATAGACACATCAGAGATCTGCTACAATCGCGCACGAATTAAGATTAAGCATACCTAATACCAGAATACTTCCCTCAATCTTAATTTCTCTATCTCATCGACATTTCTCGCCGGCAATCGTTACAAGATCATCGATATCTCCTAACCCGCACGCACCTATGTAATTATTATAATTGTACCGCGGGCCGATCGCGGATATACCCGGTCGTAATTAATCACATCGATTCGAGGAACACGCGGACACGTCGATCCGCGACAATTAAAGTGTCACGCCAGCGAAACGGAACGGACCGATCTAATTGCCTACCCAGAGGGAATCGGTTAAGGAACGGTCTTGCCCGGTGAAACTCGCGAAACCGCGCTTTATCACCGTTTAACTTCAGACCTGACGGTCGTAATAACTTCATAATACTGTGATATTTGCATTGGTCGGATTCACGGGGCGGCAAATAGATGCGATAGTCGCGGAATGAACGAGCTCCGGAGCAATATCCGACCGAAGAAAAATCCGGCCGCGACCTGATAAATGCAGCCTTCAACTGGTTCGAGGCGAGGTTTTTAATTAGCGTGTCTTCATCTAAGGAGTTAATAACGTACTCTTGGTCGCGATAGATGCACACAGACATAACGTGGGGGTCTTTTTCATCGTATAGTATTCTTCGTTTTCTGCTTCACGTAGCTTAGAATGAACCGATTGTGTGTTGCTTTTGTTGATGATGATATTATGTGGACTTTATGCTTCAATGGGAGTTCATAGATTTTGGATTATACTTGCATTAGGTCTGGACACAGTTTAGCTTAGTCTATGTTTGGTTCCTTAGTTTGGCTTCGTCAAAGTCCGGAATGAGTATAAGCTAACTCCTAGTTAGGTCCAAGGTAACTGCAATTTAGCTTTCAGTTGTGGTGCTTCCCTAAACTAACCATACGTTATACCTCGACTGAGGCTAAATTAATGTTGAATCGATTAATAGCTAGATCTGAAGTCCTCTTGAACCCTAAAAGAGACGTTCTGTTCACTACTTCGTTTCAGTAACCAGAATTGTGGTAGTTTCTTCCTGAATCTTTACGAATCTTTGCGTTCGAAAGTAACATCTTGGACCGACAGTATTACTTATATAGTGGATTAGATGATAGTTCTTCCTAGTATTCGTAGAAACAGTTCGAAACGCCCTGCAGAATTCTGTATGCACTCCAGAACCCGATTCCCAGAACAACTTACGCAATGACGATACAAGATACCGGTCAATATCAGCAACTACGGTAACCTTATACACTGAGGAAAAAGAGAAGACCGAAAACGGATACGTCTGCACCACGGCTCGAGTACACGGGGATTCCGGCGGGTAATAGACCCTCAATAACAGGGAATCGGGATACCGGCTCCAGAAACCAATGAACGAAAGCAAATTACCGATTTGTCGACAGTTAAAGGAATAATCAAACCCGGAACCCGAGAAACTTCGATGAGTCGAGGAGGCAGTCCAAGCACGCGATAAGGCTACGTATGCTTGGTAATGACTGTTCGGTTGCATGTGTGGAGCCCGAGGTCCTAGAAAGAGGAAGATGGCGGATGCTCATCATGTCGCTTAAGGACATCGAGGAACCTCTACAACGAAGAATTGCCACTAGGATCACCTGGGGATACACGGGCAACAAGAGCGCCACGAAGATCGAGCAATTGGTGGTTCAGCGGTTGGTTCATGAATGCAACAAGGATTAATGAGCAGACCCACGTATGTTTATGCAAATAGAGATTTTCATGCACTAATTCGTGGGATCCGGAGGCAAACAGAAAGTTGTTTCTTCCAGTATGGTTTCCAGCAGGTTCCAAATAAAGTAAAAGGCTCATTGCTGGAAAGATAGATGCATATAGAGAAACTACGAAAGAGTAGATTAAAAGTAATCTATTATCACAGGAAATTCAATCGAACTTTCTATTTCATTGGGTATGAAGATTGTTTTTAGTTAGAAATACATAAAGATCAGTTGGTTATGATATAAACTAGAACACTTCGTAATAAATTGTTTCAAATTTCAGTTTTACAATAAATAAGATACATTACACCATATGATTATCGTAAGAAACTCGTTTACAATTATATACTACTCTACTGTATTTTCTTTGGATCACTGGCTTCCCGAGACAACTACAAATACATTTGAATATCAGCATTTCATTTCCGCAAACTGGAGCTCATTAATCTATTTACATGTCCAAGAAGATATGTTCATAATATATATTTAGCTACCGATTTTGACTCGACACATCGCAGTGAACCACGCCACAGAAAGACATACAGAAGTCGAGCCTAAAGAGGATCACTCTGAGAATGATCTATGCTTCCCCAGCCGGAGCCTTGCACTGGAAGCGATGCGTCTGCACGGTTGCGTGCAATTTGTTATTACGTGTGTCATCCCAATGTACCGCGGGCAAAAACAGGGTGGCGATCTCTCAACCGTTCATCAGAGCGATGAAAGGAGCTTCATTATTCATCGATCCCGTGAAGAAACACCGGAGATCAGGATCGGTGGCCTGCACTTAAAGTTCCAGGACAGAGAACCTTGGTTTTAACAAGAATGACAGTAATATAATGTACATTTACGAGGGTATGCTGTTGCCCAGAGGCACTGACTTCATCCTATCTTTCTGGAAGATGAATGAACTAATTACGACAGAATTAAATAGAATTGAAAAATCGCGAATTTAACGCACGTTTCGCACGATGCTCAGCCGCGTACACTTTCAGTGGTTCGAGAACTACACCCCAGTGATTTAAATAATTTAAACTACGCTCCAGATCCTCTATCCGAGAAAACAGCGGCCCCCGTTGCCCCGATAATTCATTGTTAATTTAACGAACCGCCAGGCCCGTGCTGATAACGATCGGTCGGAGTCGAGGCAAAAGCTTGTGTAATGGATGAACAATGCGCCATAATATCGGAATATCGGAATTAACGATCGATTCATGGGAGTGTTTGGCCGGCGATAATCGATTTGCCGTTTTGCGGCCGCAAGTCGTAAACCTGTGTCACTGGAACCGTGGAAAGCTGTAGCTTTCGTAGTGACTATTCGGTGTGTGCTCGTTCGCTGTGCGCGTATACGTGCCCTGCAATTCACAAACACGACAAATCACGATCTGCACGGAAAATCGGGCGTGATCCAGAGATAGAACTTAAATACTTATGAGTAGACTGCAGACTTTTATGCAAAATGGTATTTTTCTTTCTTTGTGGAATTTCTTTCTTTTCTTAAGTACCATATTAGTTTCGGAATAAACTAGAAAATTGGACCTGCTGAAAGTTTTGTATTTTACTGTATTTTACAGACCCCTGTATAAATGCATAAAATCCGCAGTCCAGTTACGAGGAACTGTGACGTCAGTAGGACAATTTGCAGCGATTGGTATACCCTCTAATTTCAGATAACTTAACATTTTGCACTTGAGATTTATCAATTTCTTCTGTCTCTCGTTAATGGCAACAATGAAGTGCAGAGGGTTGAAGGATGTTGAAACGTTTCGTTATACTAGAGCTTAACGCGACACTATTTCGCGAAACGACTTGCAAATATTTACGCAGGGCGTATCGTCGCGACGCGAGACGTTAGCAATATTTGCGTGGCTCTTTGCAAATCGTACAGCTAATATTTATACAATGCCATCGCGAAGAATCTGTTACGCCCTTCCCTCAGTTGTTACTAAATCTGTGTGTTATTAAAGATTGCTGCGACGAGATATTCTCGAGAACAGACCGAGAAGGGTACAGTTGGCCCACGAACACCGCGGCTCCAATTATACGCGGATTGTTTTTTCTGAAAAAATTTCGAATTCAGCCGCGTGGTTATTTGAGGACGTGAGAAACAATAAGAGCATAGGTAACATACACCATTATTTTATTGTAATAGCACTGTAATAATTAGACTGCGGATTTTTATGCAAAATAATATTTTCCAAACTAATTCATCAAAAACAAGAGCAAATCTTGCAAGGGACTTTTTTATTGTAAGGTAAAATAGAAAAATCGTTGCATCTATTGAAAACTTCGTGTTTCATTGAATTTCATAGAGCCCTGCAAGCTATAAAGGCATCAAATCCGCAGTCAAGTAATAATATGGACAAACAACACACAAAATAACACACATCATAGTTAATTAATAAGCTATTAATGTGAAGTTTTTGGAGGATCAACAATTTTACGCGGATTTTCAACAACGCAGGTTGTCGGCGTCCCACTTATCGAGTTCTTCAAGGGCCGACTGTATTTACCATATTATCGCACGAAGATAATACTTTAATAACCGTAAAAAAAAGTTCCAGGAAAAACGGTGACGAGTGTTGTAATAGTAGGAATTTCTGCTACACTTTCCTGGTTGAGGTTATCATTCATTTGTTCCTACGAACTACGGTTTTTCCTACTTCGACATCGTCAGCTCAATGACAGATGACTCACGGCTAGAATGCAGTTAACAGCTTCGATTCCGAGCGACTGCCGGCAGTCGTGCGTGTAACGTGCGAAATACAAAATGGTGTGACAGATTCATTGCTCGCGAGTTCAGTTTAATTCAGCATTACAGTGCGTTAACAATAATAAACTGTTAATAATAGTTGTTGCGTTCCGTTACTCCACACTGAGAGAAATTTCCCATCAATATTTTGTAAGTATATATTTTATACAATTCGAATATGTAACAATGATGTTACGTTGACTTACAGGTTGTACGAAAGATTTTTCACAAAGATGATTCCACATCTACTGATTTTACCTGTTCTGTTGTTATCGTCGGGATGCATGGGCTCGTTAACACCGGTGATTCGCACTAAATCGGGTCCTGTTCAGGGCGAAATACTGAATACTGCTTGGAACGCCGTACGGTACTCGTCTTTCAAGGGCATTCCCTATGGGCAGCCGCCAGTTGGACGTCTTAGATATCGGGTAACGTTATACTACTTGAATTTCAGAGGGAAATAATCAGGACTTGTAACATAGACAGTAGTCGTCGCGTTAATGAAATTGTTAAATGCATGGTAAACGATAGTTTACCTACTACAAGTAACTAATAGGAAAATGAACGTTGTTTGAAATATGGTATCAATTTTCCATTGTCACTGCAGCCCCCCGAGCCAGCAGAGCCATGGCGTGAAACACTGATTGCTAACAAAGAGGAAAACAGGTGTCCCCAGATAGATGCGGCTACCAATGTATTCACGGGAGACGAAGATTGCTTATACTTGAACGTGTACACCCCTATGGTATATATCATAATATTACTAATTAATGCACTGTTGATGTTCATGAACATTCCCATTCGTGTACACTAACTGACGAAAATCTCAATAAAATGGGCCAATGTTTGGGAGATTATGTTCGAGGATTAAGTAGCAGTAATTCTTAATATTAATATTTATTTGATGACTGTGGATGTATTTATATCATCTCCTAAACAGCAATTCCCAGTAAAATAATGGATTGATAATACAATAAAGTTTACTAGCATTACTATGACGTAAAGATAGCCGCCATTGAAACTTCGACTGTATTTTTTAACAGACTACATTCAGGAAGGGCATGCATAAACACGCGGTTATGTTGTGGATACACGGTGGTTCCAACACCTTCGGGTCAAAAAACGCCTCTGAATACGGACCAGATTTGCTCATTGAGCAGGGTATCGTTCTAGTCAGCATCAATTATCGCCTCGGGGCTCTTGGTAATACTGAAAATTATCTGCCACACTTCAGCTGGTACATTATCACTCACGAAAATCTGATCATATATTAGGATTCCTATCACTGGGTCGGGAGGAAGCGGCGGGTAACGCTGGGTTAAAGGATCAAACTCTAGCTCTGAGATGGGTGCAGGAGAATATCGCTACGTTTGGAGGGGATCCTCGTAGGGTGACGATTTTCGGACAGAGCTCCGGTTCCGCAGACGTCAATTTCCACGTATTGTCGCCGAAATCTAACGGTAGGATAAAGTACAAAAACGGAATCAAGCACGAATTTATTCGTACAGTCAACTTCTTATTGAGTCTGGGGGCCTTAAGTACCTTACAGTACTTAAAGTTTTTCCCACGGTCCAGTTTTCTTAATGTCCCAAATTTTCGTAAAGGGACTGGAACCCTCGAAGTTATCACTCGAAACCGATATGTAATTGTAAATTCAAATAGAACTGTTGAAACGATGACTTTCAAGGTGACAAGCAATTATTTCTCCAGATTCAACTAGAAGTAAAAACACGAGGAAAATTAAATAACGATGATTAGGTAAATTAGCAATAATTCCAATTCTTCTAATAATGACTTCGAATGAATCAGGTTTGTTCGCGCGAGCTATATTCATGAGCGGTACAGCATTGGCACCATGGGCATACTACACGCCCGATCAATCGATGGAAAAGGCGAAACAGCTGGCTTCCCACCTTGGTTTCAATGCCACTAATACGAACGAGCTACTGCAGTTTTACCGTAATACTCCTGCCGAGAGGCTCGTGACTGGAGCTGAGTCAATGGATGAACTTCCACAATCTGTACGTTTGTCAGGTTCCTTTCTTAACGATCCTTCAATAACATTAAGCTCTGAAAGACAATGAGCGTTCTGACAAGGTAAACAGTCGAGATGGTCACATAATTATCATATCCACAGTGACTCACTGATTTGTTTATGAAAGGCTGTCACATTGTATAAAAACTCCTGCAGTTAACTGTTATTTCAAAAGTTTCTGAGGCTATACGCCTAACATTTCTATTGTCTTGTTTAATAATCAGATCTGAACACGTTACAAGAAGTCTGATTTCATTCGAGTTTGTTGGTCTGAGAGGAGCAGAAGAAAGAAAGTCGTAAAGCGACGATTCAACGTTTCTTTTTTAGCTCGTTTTGCCGTTTAGACCGACAGCAGAGATTCCATCCGACCACGCGTTCCTCACGAGCTGCCCCATATCGTTGTTCGAGTCTGGTAACTTTAGCAGGGTGCCCATAATGTTGGGTTTAACCAAGCACGAGGCGCTTGGATTCGACAGACGTAAAGAATTTTCTGAATAACTAGATGCCGAAATTCGAAATTCAAAGTAGGTTTGTATCTTATCCGTTTCGATCTGTCTTTTATAGCTGCCGGTAATACCGACCAGTGGACGAAGACCGATGATTTGTTAGAGATCGATCAGGACGTGTTCAATCGTTTCTACCGTGGCAAAGTCACCGATTTTTCTGTGGTAAATCTTCCTTATGCTTCGCTAAAATTTAGATGCCCACTGATAATTATCAGACTGCTACTTTTTTTACGTTGGTCTGTTGATGGTTTTCATAGATAAAGAAGAAAGTAAAATATCCATTGAAGTTCGCTAAGGCAACTGCAGAACATCTGCAATCTATTGATTAATTATAATTCTTCCAAATCGATGATATAATCTTTTTATTAATGGTTCTATTGTTGACAGTTCTTGACAGACTGGTATTATACAGCACCGGTCGACTTAACTCGTAAATTAATACAGAACCAGATAGGCCACAAGTCAGTCTATTACTACATACAGAATTACGATTCTCCGTACGCCTTGCACAGACAACTGGGAACAGCATTAAACGGTACGATATTTAGATTCGCCACAATGCGTGTTACACTGAATGAATAAGACAGGAAATTCTGTCCACCACAGGCACCGCTCACGCGGATGACGTTCAGTATGTGTTCTATATGCGAGTGTTCCGCGAACCCTCGGATCCTAATGACCCTATCAACCAATTCAGGAAAATGGTGTCTGCAATGTGGGCAAATTTCGCGAAATTTGGGTAAGAAAAATCGATATATGAAAAATATTGTACATAATAAGTAAAAGACACGGTGAATTTTAGGTTTAATAGGTAGAATATCAGTCTGCATTAGAATCACCGAAGATGAAATTGTTTCTATTTCTATCACGTTGATAAATTAACAAACTTTTCTACTTATATACTGCAATAAAAGTTGCAAAGAGTTTTAAAACATATATTGTTACATAATTTTGAGGAGAGTTAACGAACAAGTCATTTTGATTGCTTTGATGGTTCCTAGTGTTAATAGAAGCATAATTTTATAACACGAAGATACATTTTCATTTCTTTATTATCTCCTCTGTTAGGAATCCCACTCCAAGGCATAATAATCCATCGAACGTAATCTGGCAAGAGTCCGGAGATTGTGGATTGCAATTAAACATCAACAGCCAATGCAGAATGCAAGATCGTGATGTCAGTCCGATAGCCGCGCAGTACGAACAGTATATTTCAGAGACGCTGCCACTAAAAACTTGTCGAAGTAAGTGATTGTACAATCGCGCAATGAGAGGAAGTCTTTTTAATTATCTGCGATAAAGGGTATTACCGTACTCAAGTTTAATAGGACTGTATTTCTATGATGATGTAATAATTAAAAGCCCAAAAGAGTAATGCACGAATGTTTCAATACACACAATGATTTTATTTAATAAAATAGTAAATAAAATTCAAACTGGTACCTTCGAACAAACGCTGAAGAAGAACCTAGAATGTATAGGGTTGCTAGTTAGTAAATTCATTTACGAAACATTAAATATAGAGGTTGTCCGCGAAAAGAGTTGCTTCGCATTATTACGCCATACTACTGTAAAATTTGATTTAATGAATTCTAGCCATTATGAAGTATATTCATAACATATACTTGAACAAAGCACGTTGGTAACTATGGATCAAAACATTTCGATATTACGTTCCATTTCATTGCACGAAGTTATCGTTGCATTCATAGCAAAAGATTCGCGGAAAAGTGTGAGAAGTGCTGTAACATCAGAATTTTCTGATATAGGTACTTCTCCGGTCGAGGTTATCATACGTTAGCTTGTACAAACAACTGTTTACTCGACGTGGGAATCGTCGGTTCGATAACGGATGACCCATGTATAAAATGCAATAGCAGCTTCGATTTAGAACGATTCGCATCAGTCGTTGATATAGCCAGCAAAGTAGATACATAAACTGTTGACTTCGTTATTTGTCCCGAAGTTGAATTTAACATTACAACATTATACACTTAAATAAAAATCGTTGTTGCATATCGTTATTTAACACTAACAGAAATTTTTTATCAATACTTTGTAAGTATATACATATTTCATACAATTCCAATACTTAACAAATGTCTTCGTAATTGAATGTTATAGCGCAATAAAAAGCGCATCGAGCAAAGCTTTCCAACGTTAAATGTTTATTATCCTTTCAGTCCATTCCGCGTGTCCATTTACCTCGAGAAACAATTTAAACCGTACCTCGATGCAACCTGGCGTCAACACAATGTAACCAAGCCACTGATTTCTTTTCGCCTCGCTGCACGGTGTTCACACAACACCTGCGCTTCCACGACCGTTCGAGAACGAGGAACCGTGTCACGAATGCCATTCCGTCGGCCCTATTTCTTTTCCTTTCTTTTTTTTTTTCTTCCATTCGTTTATCACCGCTGGAAAACCGGTCGTGAAAAAAATCGGGGAAGAAACACAGTCAGACGCCGACACAGCGATATGGGCCCCCCTGGCAAAGGATTGGCGCAACAGAACGCACAGCACACGCGAGGAGGTTTTACGTCGGTTTCGCAACTCGTGCGCGGGGCCCGGCTGCCGTTTAACCGGCTTAATAATTGCGCTCCTTATACGTGCGCTGAGATAATTGTTTTTGCATAATCGAGATGGCTCTCGATCCGCTCCGCGAGGAAAGAAATCGCCGCGGTGACGACGACGACGATCCACGTGGTATTATTGAGTGCAAGGCACGAGAGAAATGCGTCTCGAACACGCGAAATTGCGTTTTGCGCAACCTACGGCGTTCCCTTCCAGCGCGGAAGAAGAAATCGTATCGGGACGATTAAGCAATTATGTAACCGGTGACGCATCGGTAGATTGTTTGTCCACTTAATTACAGGCGTGACTGGTAGGAAACATGGTTCTTCGGGATGTTTTTAATGGGTTTTATTTTTGTTCGAGTTGCGCGGAGAAATTTCGAGGAATTTCGAAATCATTGGGCAGGGAACATTGTTGAGCCTTTCTTTGTCACTTTGGAAACCTTTGGTAAAAATTCAAGGAGAAACATTCGCTATCTTTGGACTGTTGAATGGACTTGAGACAAGTCTGGATATGAAGAAATGGTGAAGATTGGATTAAATCCCCTATGTAATGGACTTTAGATTCTTTGGCTCGATACAAAACATATATACTTAACATAATTCTCACACAATTATATTAAAATCTAAACGACTTAATAATTTTTACCAACGGAAACCAGCGGAACGTCTAGTGATCACCACAGTAATTAAACATTCGTCAACTTTGAATGGGATTAGACGACAAACACGGAAAATTCAACCACCAGAAAACAAAAAAATCCTGATTTATCAATCCAAAGATAAAAGATCTTCACGGTACCGAAGATCAAAACTAAATACCGATATAGAAGGAAAATCACAGAGGCCGAGTTTCAAGGAACTTCGTGGCGGAGGCATAGAGGGGAATCGAATGTATACGATCGAGGGGGGTGGGTCGATGATCGATCGACGAGGGCCCGCGGTATCGTAAGGAACGTCGAGACCTCGCCGATACACTTCCGGTAAGTCACGCGAAAATCGAAGATCCTGCTACGCGTGAGAACAGAGGGCACCGCGCCGATGCATCACGGTCCACCATTACAATATTTCAGTGGGGGCCCGTTTTCATTGTTCAAACGCCGCGCGCATAAAAGCCGCGGGGGGCACTCATAAGCGCCGACCCAGCCGGCATGAATTACGACCGGGTTTGCATATACCTGATGCAACCCGGTGTTTCGAGTTTTCCCCGTGTGGTGCATTGATTGTTCTCGAAAACCGTACCCAATTACGCCCGGGGATTGATCGTTCTGGCGTCGACGAACGTCAAGGGCATCGTTCATTAGTATCGTTAAAGAGATCCAGCGGCTGATTAAATTCTCATCGACGAGAATTGTACAGACTGGTCCAATAATTCTTCACGGTGCTACGCGACGTGTATGGATTAAGTGATCGATTTGGAAAATTGCTCAGCATGAATGTGTAATAGCTTCGGAGTATCAATTGGGTTAATTGGGAATTCTGAAGAAAGTTTCTGTACTTGGATGTATTTGATTTATGGAAGATGAAGAATTTGCAATTCTCATGATTTGTACAGTATTTAGAAAACAGAAAAGGAACTAGAATAGGAGAATTAGATATATGTATTGGGTTTTATTGTAGAATAGGTTAATGTTATTCTTCGCTGGAACGTCATTAATTATTTCAGTTCTACGTATTATACGTTAAGTATGTTGGTTTGAATAATAAACTGTAGAGGCAGAAGTTACTCCTCTACTCGATCGCACTTCCAGTCCAGGGGCAGGTACATTCTTACATTTTTCACTGCTAAAGGAACACCAATAAAAATTTCTTTAACATTAAACAAACTATGTTAAGTAAATCGAATATTTATGAAAAGTTGCATTAATGCAAACAAATACGTTCATGAAGTTTTAAATGTCATCGATTAATTTTAAGTTTCTAAAGTTAAACATAATCTAAAACTTCCTCTTTCCATCTGGTCAAACAATATCAACGTGAAAATCAAAGGCGAACGCCGAAATCAAGGGATCTCAAGCCCCAAAGTTGCAACCTCCACGTAACATTTCATGCAATCAGGCGATCGCAGCTGATCGCCGCGAAACACTCGAAACGGGTCGTTTTCAACGAAACCGGTTCGCTTTAAATCACCAAGAATCATCGGTGGCGCGTGCAAGTAAACCAATTACCGTTCTCCGGCAGACGTATAAATTTCACGCAGGCAATTACGCGCCCCGCGCGATCAACGAGGAAAATGATCGTGACGACGCAACGGTTCGCCGAGATCTCCCGGGAAAGCGCATGGAACGAAAGTACTGGGCGGAAATTGAATCGACTGGAAAGGAAAACCTGGCCCTGTCTGACCGTAAATTACCGGTCTAATGATGAAATCGACGCCTCCTTGCAACTTTGTTCGCGTGCTGCGCGGGATCACGGGGCCTATCGGATGCATCGATTTTCTAACGATGCGAGAATGAAGGTTTGCATCACGGAGCCAACGATTTTCGCGTGGAAACCGACAGCGGACAAGTCGCCGTGGAGGTCGGCGACGAGCGATTAACCCTCACTAGTTGTTAATTCGGTATTACTAGTTGTTACTACAGCATCACTAGTTGTTACTTTAGTATCACTAGTTGTTACGTCAACATCGCTAGTTATTACTTTAGTATCAGTAGTTGTTATTTTTGCACCACTAGTTGTTACATTAGTATCACTAACCGTTGGCCTCCACTAACTACCACTAACCACTGGTCGCCACCACTAATCACCGGTCAGGACTAACCACCGTTAATCACCGACCACCACTAACCACCACAAACTATCGCTAACTACCACTAACCACAATTAACCACAACTAACCACGAGTCGTGATAAACGACATATTTGTGTGCGAAGTAAATGGATAGACACGCGCTCTGACTCTACACTATTATTCGCATTAAAACACTACCATTCTTACACGTACACAAGACATAATATAATAAGAGTGAATTATACCTATTATTTAAACAGGCGAAAAGACATTGTTCAATACAGCTTCGCCTTTACTGGCGTTGCAATTTCTATAGAAGGCAGGGTATTTCCAAAGGATACACGACAAATTGGACCTCTCTGAAGGCTCCACGAGTCATTTGGGTAACATCGTCGTGCCACGATCCTCCAGTTTCGACAACCTATACCACGTCAAACGAGCGAACCGCTTTCGACTCATAATTTTCGTTTGAACTATAAAGCGATGAGGGCCGAAAGTTGGAGCATCTGTTTAAGAGGTGTGCACGCGTTGAAACGATCATATCCTCGCGACCGGTCGTTATCGGCGCACTTATCGAAGCCATTTCACCGGTCGATTCCTAAAGAGCCGACGAAACGATTGGTCGTCTTAACGATCGACTGTGTTCATCCGCGTCGTACCATTCAATTTTCCACCGGTAGGGGGGAGGGAGGCAGACCGATCGAGAGGAGTTCCCACGCGACCGTTCGTGGCCGATCGTTGCCGATCCGGGGGCCTCTCACGTTTCCCCATCGAGTGAAAGATCGATACGAGGATCTACTGGTGCTCTCGCGCGTCATCGTCACGCGAAAATTCACGTGAACCCGGAATATAACGATTTCGAAGAAGCCACTTTCGGTTAGACAAACTGGAATATAATTATACTCAATCAACGTTGATCGGTAATATTGTATGTATTACCTAAATTAGTTGTTAATTTTATTACGTGTACGAATACCAGGAATTTATTTCTTACTTGTGAATATCGTATAGTGTAGGTTTGGCGAACAGGTCGATCGTGAAGCAACTTTTAGTCGATCGTAAGTCGGATATTCATTATTCGTTCTATTTATCTTAGTTGAATATTTTTACAAGTTTTTCTTATCTTTCTTTAAACTTTGTGTAGTTATGCTTACAATCCGTGTGTATACTACACTGCATAAGAAACTCAGCAAACTTACAAATATATTAGATATACACAAGTAGCGTCCAATTTATAAAAAGATATTGTGTAAGTACACGGGAGCCATAGTAAGGGGTGTAGAAGAGCCACAGTTTGGCCACCGTTGATCTATACGATCAAGATTAAGTTCTTATTAGTACCTTCTGTCAATACAAGTGAACAATATATTCATCTAAATCAATTAACTACCGTTTAATCAATTCTCCATTAACCCAATCAACCAATTTACCCTCGAACACATAAGAATCGATGTCCGCAACCCCAATACCCTACTTTCGACACGAACCGAATCTTCCGCAACCACGTTGAACCCAAACGAACCCACCACGACGATGTCGAAACGAAAGTTTTTTAAATCTCCCCACAGCTCATGCCCTCCCGACTTGCATTTCCGATCCCAAAAGGTCGCCGTAG